AGGTTTTTTAGTAAAGAAACTGTTTTTTTATAGAACCATGAACGCTTTGTATAATTAAAGGGTTCTTTGCATGGTGAAATGGTTGATCAGATTGATGGAGAATGTGCTGATTATTGCATAGAACCTTTCTCAAAAGGGTTCTATATAGCACCAAAAAGGGTTCTGCAATTTATTACATTGCCAAGCTTGTTACAATTGGTGGTAAATAGAATCCTCTTTAAAATATACAGAACTATGTAGAACCATATACAGCATCAACCTGAAGAACGCTTTCTTGATGCAAAGAACCATTTAATCATGCAGAGGGATATTTGAGTGTTCATGGTTCTATATACAACTATTTTCTTTACTAAAGAACCCTTGAAGAACCATCTTTTTTAAGTGAAGTTTCATTTTAAGCATTCATTAGAGTTGAATAAAGCCAGTTCAACTGGTTGCTGATTAACCCTTGGAAAAGAGGACCTATTTTCACAGTGGAACAGTTTTCTTTTCCAATCTATGGTTAAAAGCACATACTTTTAATCTTTGGGTGGTTTAAACTAAGAAAACATGTTTGTCTATATTGTGTATATTGTATAGGAGTTTTACAGGATAGGTGAAAAATATTCTTAACTTTAAATATAGGTTAAGAGGTTTTGATGACACCAACAATATCTATACTTGTGTCTGCTTTAAACAATACACTCCTTAAAAAGGTGGTTCCTAAAGGCTTCTGTTGTTACAAGCTTGACATTGTAACCTTTTCACCATTTTCTAAAAGGTAGGACCTTATACAACACATTCTCCATCAATCTGGAGAACCATTTCACCATGCAAAGAACCATGTAAGCATGAAATTGTTCTACCTAAAACTCATAGTTCTACATACCATTCTCTTTACTAAAGAACCCTTGAAGAACCATCTTTTTGAAGAGTGTAGCTAAAAATCTAGAATTACTAAAGTGGTTAAAGGGCCCATGTGAAACACTTTTCTTGTATTTTATATTTTGTCTCCTGAGGTCCACTTATAACATTAATAGTTACAGGGTGGGTTGATGTACCAAAAATCTGAATATGTACAAAAAATGATCTGTTTTTGCAGCTTGATTTCCATGTATAATCTGCATGTACTGGGAAGTGAGGTGTACGTTTTGAAACGTAAGCAACGTTTAAATACTACATCGAGGTTTTTACAAAACTGCAAGGAAAGTGGGTTTTTACGACATGGGCCCTTTAGCATGGAGCCCTGCTGATGACATCCTGTGTAAATAAAAAGAATGCATGGCTATGACTATGTAAGGTGTGGGAAGGAGATAATTAAGCCTTGACCACAGCTTAATAAGGCACGATCTCGTCCCCACGCCTTACTAAGTCATAGCCATGCATTAGGATCTTGTTCCTAATCACGCATTATTTTTATTTAAACAAGATGCCACCAGCAGGGCTCCGAACTTCAGAGGCAAATTAAACGTTAACACAGTGTGAGATTTTGCTCTGGGTTTCTGGTACCGTAAGCCACAGTACACCTGGAATCAGATCAATTAGAACATGCAAAGATGGTCCATCCTGAAAACTAAGTTCATCTTTTACAATCATATACTCAAGTAGTCAAAATGTATAGATTCCTATCTGGCTCTCGGGAACCCCACCTCATTAATTACAGCTCTCAGGCCCCAGCAGAACTGTGTCTCAAGCTCACCTTCATCTCACAGCTAGTTCAGACATGTGGCTCTAATTTAATTTCACATTAGTGAGACTCTGTCCTTTCTCCCTCTCACTCACTCCCTGATTTCTGTGAGCTAAGTGGGAAATTATACGCCTTCTTTTCACGTTCCTACTGATCTGAATCCATTTCCCTCTTTCTCTTCTTTATTTCTATTTTTATTTGTTTTTCTTGATGCTAACCTTGCAGCACACCCAGGAGGAACCTGGCCAGCATCATCGTGAAGAGCGGGAGTCCTACGTCGGCCAGAAAGGGAGTGATTGCAGTCACAACTGCCCAGAAACAAGTGGACAGTAACAGGACTCTCTCTCCACCAATCCTGTCAAAACATTATACTCATCCTGCGTTCCACAATTTATCAACAAAAGCCCTCACATGCACTGCCTGTCAAAAGACAGGGGACACCGTGTCTTCTTTTAAAATTTGAATTTCTCTGTTAGGCCAATCAAGCAAAAACTTGCAAATGTTTAGTTGACATAAAACAAAGTGTTTCCTTTGATATGAAGAACAGTATTTAATATGGTAAGACACAGCAAACCATGAAAGGAAACACTCATTTATTACAAAAAAAAAACTCTTTGAAAAGATAGGTGACCCACACTTTTGACAGTGTATATATATATATACACACACACACATTAAATAGAAAACACATACATACATATATACACACACACACACACACACACACACACACACACACATATATATATATATATATATATATCCCAACTCTTTGTCACAATTCTTGTATCTCTGAACAGAGAGATGGCTCTGAAATTCTCCCTGAAACTAGGTATATGCAAAAGTTTGAGCACCCTGGTCAAATTACAATAAAATGTTTTTTTGGTTCTCTAAGTGGGGAAAAATATGCACATCTTCTATAGTCAGTGTTTCCCAACTTTAGTTCTGGAGCCCCACTGCTATTCACACGTGTTTTCTCTGCTTCCCACACATCTGAGCATAGGTTATACTAATAAGTATAATAATAATATATATACACTACTATAATAAGGTTTAGTTCCAATATGTAAAACATTATTCAGACAAATTTTGGAGTGTCTCCAAAGGCTTAAGGAATGTCTATAAATGTTAAAGGGGAATTCCACTGATTTTTAAAAAATTACTGCATAATTCAGTTTTTGAGATGCCATTCAAGCAGGTTTGATGTAAAATGTAGCAAAGAAACTTAAAGACTGGTAATAGGAACGTGTCTACGATGTGATTGTGATGTCCACAGCAGCTTTTCTTATTTGTTGTCCTAAATGACTACTGTGCCTACACATATATTATATATAATGTTGGTAAAAAAGTGGTAAATCTGAATGTTTTTTTTTGCCATGACTGGATCTCTAAAAAATGTGAGATGAGGACCAAGTCTTTATCTCATTACTATTTTATTGGTAACCATTTAGTGTAATAACCAATAACTGTTAGTGGCATTGAAGTCTCTGTACATCTGGTGCTTAATCACCATCACTATGAACAATTCTGACTCTAGAATGGTGCATTTCACATCAAACCACTCTGAATGACTTTGTTTACATCTTAACCATTTAATTATACAGACATTTACAAAATAGTCCAATTTTGTCAAGAATCTTGGAAAGTGAGCTCAAATCATATACATAGTCTGATAGTACCCACTTATCACTGGCATGGCCTCCTAACACTTGTGTGAAGCAGTAGCCCCAGTAGAAGGAACCCAGAACCAGCCCAGACTCTGTCTTGCTCCACCCAAATTGCTGCGCCATTGTAACTGCACACACTGGCATGGCCATCCGAGCCCAGTGGAGCAAGCAGGTGACCAGCAGCAGCATCAGTGTCCATGTCAAAGCAAGTGGCCTATGGGACAGAGGAACTTGAATGGGTGAGTTCTTATTAACTACAAAGCACTGGCCAAAAAAAACAAAAAAAAACTTCAAATTCCAGGCTCATTACATGTATAGTATTTAGTAACTACAGGGCTTCAGTGCAAACTGTAACAATAATGTAATAAACCTTGGGCCTGCTGGTGGGTTAAGAAAGAGATAAAAAAAAATACAGAGTATCATTCAGCATTCTTTCTAATCATTTTCTTAGCTGCTTAACAACATCCTAAAACCCGTTTTTCCGGATGGGCTTCAGACTCAACATGCCAACAGATCAAACATGTCACTACTGTTAGTCTGAAAAGAAAAAAATGAAACAAAGACAAACATCTATTCAAATTAGTAGTAAAGAAGGCATGGTGCATTTGGTCAGCACAAATGTACATACAAAGGTTCACATTCTGAGACAATTTACAAAACAAATTCATCAGAACATTACACTTGTGTTAATTTCTTCTTATTTTAATGTGCATGATTTACAAAGACAGGTTCATAGACAGGAGTTTATTATGTGTAAAATTTCATGTAGGCTAAAACCTATTATAGATGCCAGAAATAAATTTTTAGAATGATGCCATTTAAGAACCATGTTTGGTTCCCTGATTGGTTCAATTAAAACTCAGTTGAAAGGTTCTTTAGGTCAGTTGTACTCAAATTGTTTCCCAGGGACCACCAGAAAGGCCACATTTTTGCTCAATCCCAGTTCCCAACAAATAAGGATAGAGCAAAAATCTGAACTTCATGGGGGTCCCCAAGGACTGGTTTGAGACCACTGCTTTAGGCAGCCAAAAGTAACTCTTCTCTTGCATGGCTCCCTTTTTGACATCTTAATTTTTAAACATATTAGCTGTATTGACTATAACTACATTATTTGATCAACGCCAAGGCACTCAATTTGAAAAATTGCACTTTCACAAACATAAAATACAAGACTAAACCTTGAAAAAATGTAAAAGTACAAGATAAACAATGTTATCCAAGCTGCACCATACCTGGGCCATATTCCTGACTTGCTGTCATTTGTTTCCGTTTTTTCAAGGCCGGTTGTGCACACATGGCTGGAGGGATTTCTCACATTGTCCACTTGTGAACCGAAGCTGACCGGCTTTCCCTCAACTTCCATTCAGTGTTGCCGCAATATCCTTCATGAAGCAACTTCAGCGTGATTGAGTGTTGATGAAGCTGAACTACTGAAGAGTGCACGAGGATTAGACTCTACATACTGCAGGACAAGATCGACAGGAATGACAGGTACGACACATGGGGTGGGGTGGGGAGGGGAGGGAACGGGATAAAATAGGCTCGGCACCAAGCACTGGTGAGTGTGCGTTGGAAGCTTATCTGTATCCTACATAATGGTGCATTTATTCCAGTAGAATGAAAAGCAGGAAGGGGAATGCAACAGCCTTGATAGTCAGACACATTTGTTTCAAAAGAAAAGTTTTATTGTACCTGTAAATCGGACTTTAAAAACAGGAGTGGCTGGGAAATGTGTTCTTGATGAATAAATAATACTAAAGATGACAACAATGTCTAGTATGAATTAACTACGAACTTCAGCAGCAAGAATAAATGTAAAATAAGGACAAGAGGGGATACAGCCTAGTTTTACAAGGCATGGTGGCTTCGTAGTGACTGCAACGACAATATAAATATGTGCGTTTAAAGTAAAAATAGCTTATGTTGTGAAGTCTTTAAAAAAAAAAAAAAGCATCCAAAACACCCATTCACCCACTTCAAATATTCATAATCTTCTGCTCCCCATACGAGTAGGTCTGTTTCCGTTCCGAGTGGAAACACAAGGCTAGAATTCTTCACACACACCGTAATGCAAAAAGCACACCCTAGCCTACACAAGGCACAGCATGAGCACAGGTTTATCAAATATGGGTGAGAGGACAAACCAGTCAATCTCGTTCCATTCAACAACGCAAAACAAATCGGCCATAAAACCCAGACAAATTCAGTGTCATTTTCCAGAGCGGACCAAACCAACCAAACGTTACCAAAGCTAGCTTCACAATCCTGGAAATGTTTATATAGAAAAACACATTTTAAAGCTTAACACTTTCCTTAAAACCATTAACTGATTTTACCCGTCTAACTTGTGGCCTAATTTAGGCATAAAAAACTGCACTGAATGAACACAAAAACAAAAATAAAAAGTGACCAAACAGAAGCTAAAATGCCAGTATCTAAAATAAAAATGACTTGGATATTTACAAATAAACAGACCAATACTACAGAATTATTTGCAATCTGCAAATGGGTGGATGGCAAATGTCATTTTTCAGAAAGCTGATTATATTTACTTTTTTGATTACCATATCTGCTCTCAAAAATACCTTATACAGTTGTTTAAGTTACTTCTTTTGTATGAGCATCAAAAAAAGACGTATTCATATTCATATATATGATTTACATATACAGTCCAGTCAGTGACTGCTTATAAATAAAAGGGGGAGGGGAAGCATAGGTGTCCATGTGTATCAGTTTCTACTTGGGGTCCTCGATTGTGCCCTTGCTAAGGTCTGTCATTTTGGGATATTTGACTTTTTTCTGGTCCAGTTCATTCTGTGCCCATAACAAGAGCTTCAGCAGCTTTGCTAGCTTTGGTGTTGATTCCCTGTTCTCATAGTCCAGCACTGCCTGGTTCACCTCACTCCAAACCTATGAGAAGCAGAAGTATTATTTAGCATCAAACTGGAGAACTGCAGCCATGCTTTTCAACACAATGATGCCACCTTGTGGACGGGATTCAGAGCACCTAAGCTTTATGTCTGCAGAAGCTTTGACATGTATGGTTAACCGAGCTCAGCTTGCCACAGATGCTATTGTTCATTACATACTCCTGATTACATACTAGAGGTGTATGACAATACCTCAATCACACTGGTATCCGCAGATATTTGCTTTAAAAAACATTATCAGCATCAGACAGATGTTTAGATTTGACTGATATTTCAAATTGATATTTGATGATGTATTTATTGTACTCTGGAAAAGCAGAATGTTTAGGTGACACTGGGTTACTGTGCTGAACTATTCTAAAACATTTATATAAAATGCAGAAATTGGGATATGTGTTAGCATCGGCAGGTATGTGTATGGACAATATCAGGCATCATCACACAATTGCCATATTGGTGTATCCCTATTACACACTAGGGCCTGACTCATATATCAGTCAATACTGAGGTTACAGTACCGGCAAAAATGGCACCAAGAAACCAGTAATATTTACTAGAAGATTCTGCACTGATTAACAAAATGCCATAAAATGCCACAATTGGACTTTTATAATGGCTTATGCGTAAATAAAATTTTGGTTTCACCTATTAGATGGTGAAACAAAGACGTAGGCCTATAGACACAGTAAGTGCAAAATAAGTAGGCTACATTCAACTAAGCAAAGCACCTAGCATCCTGTCTAGAGGTCTGCTACCAGAGCCTGGTTTCAGACTGGGTCTGGGTCAATTTTTCACACACAACTTGGGTTTGCTTTCTAATGAGTGATTTTTTTTCCAATGTTGATGTGTTTTTATTTGAAGGATTATGCCAATGTACATTTCACACACTCTCGTGCATTTTCTTTTCTTCTCTCATCACATTACAGTCTAGGGATGCATCAATACCATTTTTTTCAGAGTACAAGTATGAGTACATATTTTTAGTACTTGCCAATTCCAAGTCTTAAATAGTGTGCATTGGCTAGCTATGCTACTTTGGTTACCTTGGATCAAGTAGCGCTGCAGTGGAGAAGAGAGTTTTGTTGCAAGTCAGAAAAGCGCCTCTGTACAGCTCTAAGTAAAGTACGTTGCATACAACAGTTCCTGTCTCTGTAGCACAGTGACAGCAGGCATCACATCCAAGGAGCTCACTTGTGGACTTTTATGCCTGAAGTATTTTGTTTGGCCGGTTTAGTTAAGCTGTAGTTTATGGTCTTCTAAATCCAGACACATACTGTGTGATTTTAGAAATCTTGCACTTTGGTGGCTCACACTGTATGTTTGAACATGTACCGACAAAGCCTGAGATTTATATTCTCACACTGTACGAGAACAATATGTCCATGCTATGTGAAATGCTCTATCTATGAACAATTTCAAATAAACCTGCTTCATTCAAAATAACATGTTGTGCACAGAGTTCTGAGCAAAGAGAAACTGAGCAGCACTGCTAAGACTGAGCACTGAAGCTAAAAGCAGGTGGTGATGTACATGGTAGGACAATATGGTCTGTCTACAGCCTATTTTACAAAGACAGTTTAATAAATCACAGTATTAATGATCATAGCTCGCTATTCTAGTCAGTCAAACAGAGAAAAGTCACATATTTGGATATTTGGAAATGTCAACTTTTTTTCAGCTCTGTTTTCTGGCTTACGTGTCTCCACCCATACTGGGGAAGCGGTTGGGATTGGATGTTTGAAAACATCTACAATGGTCTAAAATCACACAGTGTAGGGCAAGAATGAATCCGCCAAGGTAAAATGTTTGAAGTGGCCGACAGCTTTGTGTCCGGCTGTGACTGAGTCAGTAACACTTTTCTGTGAGAACAGAACCTCCTTGACTGCGTTTGGTCATTAGCACAGCAGCGTACACTCATCCTACAACACAGCTGGTATTGGAATGTTGGTGTCAGTGAATTACAAGTACATGAGCACGACATCTGCCTGATACCCAATACCAGTATTGCTATCGATGCATCCCTATCACAGTCTATATAAAGTCTATGATAATCCTTCTCTGTTAGTGCATGCAAGGGGGCTCAGGCTAGGTTTGGATTTCAAATTCAACAGTAATTTCTGCCTGGTTTGGTGGGGTCTCAAAGCCTCAGATACGGGCTGGGTTCAGGCTTAAATTTCATGCCCCTGCATGGCACCATGAATCAAAATTAAATCTTATCTAATTATAAGGTGCCTGGACTCCCACCCATATTATTTTAAACTGTCCTGTTTTATTTAATAATGAACAGGTCTAAGGTCTTCAGGATTTAGGAAAATTGCACTGGTTTCATGTTCTTATGCCAGTCAAGCAGTCACTGAACATTTTTTTTTCTATCTGTCGGATCTAGCACACACACACGCGGCACCCTCACCTTCTGCCGCTGCATCATGTTGAGGAGGTCTCCGAAGGGTGACTCTTCAGGGTTGTCAAAAGCGAGAAGGGCCAAAGTTCTCTCCATCTCAGTCAGACACTCCCTGCTCTCCTCACCCTGTTCAGCCAGCTGTGACTGTGCGAACTCAAGCGCAGCCTCCGTTTCCCGCAGACGAATCAACTCGATCAAATGCTGCTGCTGCAATAGGGAAGAACCATATATACCATATTAACTAGCTAAAGGACACTTCTTCCTAGCATGTCTATACAGAACAATGTGTTTACCTGAAGGTGGAAGTACAGGTATCGGTTAGTGTCCAGAAGCTCTGGATGAAGGCTGTTGATGAGGGAGATGGCCTCCTGAATCTGCCCTTTCAAAATCATCTCCCTGATTTTAATCCTTTCATCCAGTGAGTCCAGATCCACGCTGGGCTCAATGCCTGACTCCATCCGGAACTTCTCTGCAGCCTCCTTAAACCCCTCTGTGAGACAGAACATCATTAGGAATCTTGTTTTAATTCAGTCATATTTGTTACATAAACAGTGCATGTGCAAAAGAAATGTCAGGAAGCAAAGTAGTAGGATTTATCCAATGAGTGCAGCCACTGTGCACGTCATGAAATCACAGCACTGCGAACAAATGCAACTTGCTGTGCAGTCTATTAAGTATTCAAGATAAGGAAGTCATTGTGTGTTAGACCGTTAGGCTGAAATTGCTCAAGCAACTCACCAGAACTGTAGCTTACTGCAGTAGAAAAGCTAAAGAATAAAAGGAGACTAACATAAGCTCCCCACACAAAAAATTAGTCGCATGCATCATTTCATCTCTGATGTTTGGCATCCATTTGCCTTAAAGTTTAATTATGGTGGTCTCTTATCTGTTTTGTCCCACTGTTCCACTTATTTGTACTTCGTGCACAAGCAGAACACTGACATTCCAACATTCCAGGATGACAACTGTAGGGTGTCTATATGGAACACTGGGACAGTTTGACTGACCAGCAAAATCACCAGGCCTCAATCCCAGTTCTCAATATAGAACAGCAGATGACAATCTGAAACAGGCACACACACACATTCTGTTTAAAGTGTGCACCCAGTTCTTGGAGGAGTGGGCTAGAATGGACAGGAAACATCAAGACACTGCTGTAATCCTAACATGACAGGGTTGCAATTTGGCGAAGGGAATCATAACCAAATATTAGAAAAGAAATGATGCACGAGACTCATTTTTTGAGTTTATCTACTCACGTAAAATCAGCCACCAACATACATACCTGTTACTAAATAGTTCATGATGAGGCGGTTCATATCTGCTCTCTGAATATGCACATTGTTAAGTTTTTCCATCCATTCCTCCTTCGTAATATCTTCAGGCTTTTCATCGTAGCTCATCATGGACACGTGGCTTCAGTCTTCTATAAAACTGAAAATCTTTAATCAGTTCATTGCCACAATTGATCAATTCAATAAGGTCAGTTGCTCTGTAAGTTAACTGTTTCTATTGTCACTGTTATTTAAGGGGGAACTCCACCAATTTTTTAAAAATTCTGCATAATTAAACGATTAAGATGGAAACATTCAGAGTGGTTGGTTATTAAATGCTTTGTTCTAAAGAAAATTGCTGAGTCAGAATTGGTGATAGGAACCAGATGCCTTAATGCCTCTAAAGGCTCCCTTACACAAAATGGTTATGAAAACTCTTCCTGATGCCTGAGACTTTGTTTTACGATACTTTTACGATAAAGTTTTGACCTAAAACGTCTTGTTAATCCATTTATTTCAATCCATTCATGGCGGAGGGGTACACACATGGCGTTGTTAGGCAAAATAGTCCAAAAAAAAAGTTTTTTTTTCAGCTTTCCACTATTTTACCATCATAAACATTACCTATAAAACTCAGAAGACAAGCGTAGGTGCACAGGTGGTTTTGGATAATAATGGTTAACGTTAATAAAGTGGCTGTATTTATGTTGTATACACCGCGACCTTCGGTTCCAATCACCACCACTGTAAAGAAATCTCAGTCTGTAACTTTCTGTACAACGAACAATTTTACACCAAACCACTCTAAATGACATTGTTTACATCGCAACGACAGAATTATGCCAAACCTTTGAAAAACTGGGGGAATTCCCCTTTATAATCCAGTCACACGCCGTCTTTCCCGACATGCGACAGCTGCTGAGGATCATCAGTGACTGAACGAGCTGCAGTCAGTACAGAGTTCGTATTTTCGCGGTTTAGCTGCTGAAGTAAACGCAGAGGCAGAAACCTCTACCTGCTCAGCTGTTTTTATCTGATTTTATTACAGCGCCGGTACAGCTAAGAGCTACCCCAAGTATCTTCAAACATATTTAATGGCAAGAAATGAGAAAAAAATAACTCAAGCGAGATTTTCCTCTATTATGAAAAAACCTAATTGCGGCCTCGAGAGGAAGCAAAACATTGAAGCCTAAAACTGGCATGCGGGCTTCTTCGTGCGCTTGACCGGACACTGACATTACTCGAGTGGCTTTAGATAAAATGTACGTGCAGAAACACAATCCGATAAGCCGCTAATTTGTGTTGGATTAATGTGCAAAGCACGTTCGGTTATTATAAAATACTTACAAATAATTCTTCGCGATGGCAGCGGGCCTGAGACGGAGTTCACGCGATAGCAGACGGTACTTCGTAACGAGACTTGGGTTGAGCGATGTGATTGGTCAGAATTGTGATGTCATGGTTGCTGTGGCAGAGGTGCCAGGGTTGCCAGTTACAGTCACAGAATCAGCAGTATTTCTGATAAAAGCAGGGGTTTCTTATTGCGAAAAGGGATACAGAAAACTACAGCATATATACTATTTACAGTTTGATAAAGATATAATTTAAGTCAATGGTGGGTTTTACTCCAGTGATGGGTCTAATTGTCCTTTCTTTTGGCTGAAATGCTCTCGATGTCTCCAGAAGATATTTTTTTGGAGCGTTACTTAAAGTATTCAAGTGTTAAACTCGATGTAATCCTGTAAATAATACGAATGTATGGTTTCTTACTGTGACATAAATAATTTCTTCCTACCTGTATGTTTTATATTCGTTCTTTTAAAAAATAGTAGACCGCTAAATCATCTAACAGTCACTCGCGCTCTATAGTTTTTATTATTTTTTATTTTTTAAAATTGCATTGCAAACACAGTATCGCCTGCTAAGACCTTTCCAATGACACTTTAAAAGCGTTCTGGGGGCTGACCTAATCAGATCATGTACAGAATATCTAGTTTGGTTTGAGGGGTAAGTAAGCACTGCTGGGTGGTATTTTAGGGCAGCTGAGAGGTGGTTTAAGATAAGCTGTCGAAGGCTAAACAGAAAAGAATCGACCATTTTGGATTATTTAGTCGAATTAAAATGATTTATTTGTAGTTTTAATTATTTAACCGAATTGCTAAATAAATAATAGTGAGACTATTTATTCTTTATTTATATCCTGAAAACTCTTAAAAAAGGTGGGGGGAGAAGGGGTCTTCTAGGGTTCTTTAGTAAAGGCAATGGTTATAAAACAGAACGATAACGACTTAAGGAACCGTTTGAAAGCTTAATGGTTCCCTGCAGCTCAGAAAATGATTCTTTTTATGTGTGTCATTCTAATTATGGTACAGTTTCCTCAACAGTGATCACAAAGGTTTTGATCGTTATACTGTATATTACATTCATATGGTCCAAAGAAATAAAACATAGTTCTTTATAGAACCTAAAGGTTCTATAATTTGTTATATGGAGTTCTTAAAAAAATCCTCTATGTAACACCAGAAATATTTTCTATATTTTATATAGACATTTGTGCTAAGAATGTTGGGTTCCAATGCATTCTAATGCATTTGTCATTTACAATAACTTTGTCATTTACTAAGGCTTGGAACTCTTAAAAGTTATAATACTTCAAAATTATTATTATTATTATTATTATTATTATTATTACTTACTTACTTACAAAAAACAGTGTTTCTTTTTACTTCACCTGTCTGTAGCTGTCAAGCTATGTATTTTTTATCTGTTTTTTCTGTTATTATTAAGTCAGTCAATAATGATGTGAATATCAAACACAATGGCTGCTAATGCCTTATAAACTTCACCTTTCTAAATGAGCTTATATCTGCCCAATCCTCTTATTGCACACACACACGCACACAGCGCTGATCCAAAACAAGCAATGAAAGACAGTGGCAAAAAAGAGGTTTATGTCCATATGGGCCTGACACCTTTATTCCAAAATCCATCTACTGATGCAATCCGAATAAAAAGAAGGCATTATTTTAGTGTTGCTCTATAGTCCATGATATTACTGAGATCATCTATTGTTTTTCATTCCAAGAATAAGACAAAAACAAGGTATTAACTTCTGAACTAGGTATTACATCCAGACTGACCCGATGGTAATGTGTTTGTTGTTTGTTTGATAATTATATTGTATGCCATATTTAAAATAAAAAAAACAAAGAAAATATTCACCTTAAGTAAACAACAATGGGATTGTTTTTATTATGATAATAATACAAAGATAGTCGTGCCCAATTTTGTTAAGTGGGTTGCAATTTTATGATTAGTAACAATGAGAGCTTTCCAATGAATCACAGCATAACAGATCTTTTTGCATAATATTTCTAGGAGTCCTTTAGACTCATTACAAGCTCATCAAATGAGTATTCGTAAAAAAAAAAAAATTATGTATTGTGAGCTTAGTTTGTGTCTTTCATGCTGATAATGTCTCTGGGTGAAGGGTGCTGAGAGCTTTCCAGAGTCATTCCACATCAGATCAGAGCCAAATGGGCATGCTAATGTCAAGAAATCACATATTTTTGTCATCCATATGTTCTGATTACACATTGCATTGTATTAAAAAAAACATTCCTTTTTCTTCCTAACCATTTTTATATTACTGTGCAAAATAACACTGAGTAGTATAATTTTGTGATGGGCTGGACATGTCATGTTTGATAGACCCTGTCAAGGATGGAGAAAACAAAAATTATTAATTATACGTTAAATAAAAGCAAAACTGACCAGCTTTCGAACTTGGCTCCTCTGAAGACATCATAATCATCATCATCATCATCATCATCATCATCATCATCATTTAAGTGATGTCACTTATTCTTCATCATGTCACTTGTCACAAAGTGACAGTATATTGTTTTTTATGGCTAAATAAGTTGGCATGACACTTGGGGGGAAAAAAACTCGAGGACTCAATTAGTCAATTTCATTTAAAATGAATGTTTTCATGTTAAAGTTCTATATGCACTGTTAATGTGGAAACATATACATTTGCACGTACAAATGCAGTTTGTATTTAGCAATATTTCAGATAGAACTTCAATCATTGTCTATACAGACACATAAAAATTGCTGCTTAAAAACATATGTTAAAACATGTCTTTTATACTGGCAGAAAAAAATATACAATATGTTAATGGTGAACATTGAACTCATACATACATACATCATCTAAACTGCTTATCCTTCTGGGTCATGGTGGGGTGCTGGAGCCTGTCCCAGCTGTCATTGGGCAGAAGGCAGGATACACCCTGGACAGGTCGCCAGTCCATCGCAGGGCAGACAGACAGACAGACATACACAGTCACACACACTCACACCTAGGGTCAATTCAGCATGTCCAATCAGCCTGACTGTATGTTTTTGGACCGTGGGAGGAAACCCACGCAGACACGGGGAGAACAGGCAAACTCCACACAGAAATGACCCTAGTCGCCTGGCCAGGAATCGAACCCAGGCCATTCTTGCTGTGAGGCGACAGCGCTACCCACTGCGCCACTGTGCCGCCACTTTGAATTCATATAATTTTCATATGTTAATGATCAACATTCAATTAATAGTCTATATGTAAGCTTAGTAAATGACAAAGTTATTGTAAATGACAAATGCATTAGAATGCATTGGAGAACATTTAAGGGCAGATTTTTGTGACAGTAGTTGTTGTCCAGTATCATCAGCTCCCTGTTGGTAGAAACTCACATGAAGGAGAGAAAAGGGTTCAGCCAAGTAAAGACCAAGTAAAGTTTTTAAATGAATACTTTGAAGTAATGTGAAGTTATTCTTGTTTAAATTATTAGAAATTGGAATGCAAAGCCATTTATCTGGGCAGTAAGTATTTATTTTTTAAAAAATGAACATTAAAATACAATAAATAAAATAAAAATAAATACAAACAAGCAAATACACAATACATTTTGACTTTATGTGTGTGAAAGTGGTGGCACAGTAAGAAGGGGCCTGGGTTCGATTCCCTGGCTGAGCGACCAGGGTCCTTTCTGTGTGAAGTTTGCATGTTCTCCCCGTGTCTGTGTGGGTTTCCTCCGGGTACTCCGGTTTCCTCCCACAGTCCAAAGACATGCAGTCAGGCAAACTGGAGATGCTAAATTGCCCCTAGGTGTGAATGTATGTCTGTGTCTGCCCTGTGATAGTCTGGCAACCTGTCCAGGGTGTTTCCTGCATTCGGCCCGATAACTGCTGGGATAGGCTCTAGCACCCCCCAAGACCCAGGAGAATAAGCAGCATAGATAATGTGTGTGTAAGTGAGACAAAGTGTTAGCTTAACCATTTCCAAAGCTCTCCTCAAGGAAGTCCAGTATTTATAATCACCATCCAGTACATATCTTACATAATCAATCCTTCATTAAAGTAAATCAGCTACGCTGCTGATGGAATTGAACAAATCCATTTAACAGCTTGAGTGGACCGAGAAATCAGGAACCTAAATTAACCTGTGTTCATCTAACTATATTCTTCTCACCAGCATACAGTTGGATGCAAACATTTAAACAGCCCTGGTCAAATTAGATGTTTTGTTGATTTTATAAGTGAAAATGAGTTAACATTTCCTGTGCAGAGAACATCCTAAATGTGTAATTGTCTGCAAATTTTTGTGCACTATTTTGATTTATTTACTTCAACACAGGGGGCTCAATCCTGGTCCTGGAGATCTACCACTCTGGAAAGTTCAGATCCTCATCTGGCTCTAATATCTGTCTCTAATGTTCAGATGCCCCTGAAGGCCTTTCTTTCTCTGAACTAGGTGTGTTAGATTAGGGTTGGAGCCAAACTTGGTGGGTGGATCTCCAGGGCCAGGACTGGGCACCAAATATAAAATGCACCTTTACACAGGCCAGATTTCACATTTCACTATTTTATCTCAAAACATTCTCAAAAAGAAAATTCCTGGCCTCGCCATACCTTCTTAGGAAAGGTTCACACATCTCATTTACAAAACAGTTCTCTAAAGAACCATCCACTGAAAGGAAAGCAAAAGTTCTTGTGTGGCAGTGCTCTAAAGAACCCAACAGAAACAATAAATGGCCAAATTATCAAAGAATGTCACAAAGGAAACAGAAGCATCATATCATATATCATATTGTCCAGGGACTCGCGCTGCCTGTCGCCTCCTGCGGCACTAACACTGCTCCTGCACTAACACAGTGTCCAGACTTCAGCTGCCCCACCATCCTGCTCATCTGCTCCAGCGCGCGCGCCTGGAGGAGGATGTGGTTTCTGGCCAGCAACAGCGTGGCGATCTTGGACAGTTTCTTAGCTGTGGGTCCTGGCCGGTACGGCATGGCGGCCCTCAGCTCATCTAGCGCCTCATTCAGGTCGTGCATGCGCCTGCGCTCGCGCGCGTTGATGTTCACGCGTAGCGCGCGCGCCCTCTCGT